ACTTAGATATACAAACTAAAACACAATACAAACCATCACAACAGAAATATGTGCTGTGAATGACTCTTAAAGTTTGAAAAATAACAATTTATCCTGGAATTTAGCTGTCAGTATAAAACACGCGCGCTAGACTATAGCGGTGATGTTATGATTTTGTTGTGCTTAAATTTTGCAATAATTCTCACTAAAATATCTTGAAAATCATTGTAAGCCTGTTTACATAAAGCATACAAAGCATATACATCGACAAGGAACCGCAAAACTCGAAGTTTGAACTTCGTGACCGAATGACATAAAACTGACATGTCAACTCTAGCATTTTCGTCCTTGGTCGCGTAATTTTGAAAACGGGTGTAAACCTAGTTCCCGGAATTTGGACAAGTCTAATATAAATATCAATGGTTCACATGATATGTTTGTTATAAAATCTAGTATATAAACTAAATCTTCCATTAAATCCGATGTAGTCAGCTTCAATAGAAGAATTAGTTTATATAGTTATTGTTCTATTAAATATTTAATTGGGAGACACTTTGTATTTAAAGGATCATGATTAACCACAAAGCAATGCGCGCTTTTGTTTACGTTTATGTTTTTCAGTTACTTTGATGGATTTAATATAGGGTTGAGAATATAGGGTTAAGATAAAATTAAGGAAATAGGGTGAAGATAAGATTAAGGATATAGGTTGAGATAAGATTAAGGAAATAGGGTGAAGCTCGTCCTCATACGAAAGCCCTGGGAACGAGGTTGAGATTTAGGGTTAAGATAAGATTAAGGAAATAGGGTGAAGATAAGATTAAGGAAATAGGGTGAAGATAAGATTAAGGATATAGGGTTAAGATAAAATGAAGGATATAGGGTTAAGATAAGATTAAGGATATAGGGTTAAGATAAGATTAAGGATATAGGATTAAGATACGATTAAGGAAATATGGTGAAGATAAGATTAAGGATATAGGGTTAAGATAAAATTAAGGATATAGGGTTAAGATAAGATTAAGGAATAGGGTGAAGATAAGATTAAGGATATAAGGTTAAGATAAAATTAAGGATATAGGGTTAAGATAAATTGAGGAAATAGGGTGAGGATAAGATTAAGGATCTAGGGTTAAGATAAGATTAAAGATACAGGGTTAAGATAAGATTAAGGAAATAGGGTGAACATAAGATTAAGGATATAGGGTTAAGAAAAGATTAAGGAAATAGGGTGAATATCTGATTAAGGGATATAGGGTTAAGATTAAGGAAATGGGGTTAAGATAAGATTAAGGAAATAGGGTTAAGATAAGATTAAGGAAATAGGGTTAAGATAAGATTAAGGAAATAGGGTTAAGATAAGATTAAGGAAATAGGATTAAGAAAAGATTAAGGAAATAGGATTAAGAAAAGATTAAGGAAATAGGATTAAGATAAGATTAAGGAAATAGGGTTAAGATAAGATTAAGGAAATAGGATTAAGATAAGATTAAGGAAATAGGATTAAGATAAGATTAAGGAAATAGGGTTAAGATAAGATTAAGGATATAGGGTTAAGATAAGATTAAGGAATAGGGTGAAGATAAGATTAAGGATATAAGGTTAAGATAAAATTAAGGATATAGGGTTAAGATAAATTGAGGAAATAGGGTGAGGATAAGATTAAGGATCTAGGGTTAAGATAAGATTAAAGATACATGGTTAAGATAAGATTAAGGAAATAGGGTGAAGATAAGATTAAGGATATAGGGTTAAGAAAAGATTAAGGAAATAGGGTGAATATCAGATTAAGGATATAGGGTTAAGATAAGATTAAGGAAATAGGGTTAAGATAAGATTAAGGAAATAGGGTTAAGCTAAGATTAAGGAAATAGGGTTAAGATAAGATTAAGGAAATAGGGTTAAGATAAGATTAAGGAAATAGGGTTAAGATAAGATTAAGGAAATAGGATTAAGAAAAGATTAAGGAAATAGAGTTAAGATAAGATTAAGGAAATAGGATTAAGATAAGATTAAGGAAATAGGGTTAAGATAAGATTAAGGAAATAGGATTAAGATAAGATTAAGGAAATAGGGTTAAGATAAGATTAAGGAAATAGGGTTAAGATAAGATTAAGGAAATAGGGTTGAGATAAGATTAAGGAAATAGGGTTAAGATAAGATTAAGGAAATAGGGTTAAGAAGAGATTAGGGATATAGAGTTCAGATAAGATTAAGGAAATATGTTAAGATTGGGGATATAGAGTTACGATTAAGGGTATGGGGTTAAGATTAACGATATGGGGTTAAGATAAGGATATGGATTAGGGATATGTATTAAGATAAAGATTGGGATTAAGATTAGGATTAAAGGTCAAATAAAGATAATGATTAGGTTTATGGGATGTGGAGTTGGATAGTAAGAGCAGGAAAATTGTTAGGAATATTCAATGTATTTCAATCGTGGATGGTCAATGTTAAAATATATGTTCTGATCTCAACGTCAAATGGACTTACTTTTTTATCAGAAAACACAAAAGCTCTGTACGTTTCCCAGTCCCCAGTGACTGAAGGATTATCTCGGTCCAGCCAGCCAGTCCAATAAGACGCAGCATGACCTAAGGTGAAACAGAATACATTAATCAGTTACATTAAAAAGTATATTCAGTAGTAATGCAACCCAATTAGCCGTTGCTACTGGACGAAATGTAGGATAGGAGAAACGATTTGTCCTTATTCCTTTTTAAAACATCTTCCAAATGACAGAATCATATTATTTTACATATTAATATAAAGCATCTTCATTGAGCATTCTTTTTCAACTTATAACACGCCAGAAACGTTTAGTAGTTGGTTCAATGATGAATTTCCATATGTCAGTTGAACGCAATACAGTACTAATTAAGATATAGACTCAAAGCATACATTTTCAGTTCCACTTCAAGTGGTACATATATTATTGGGCAGCCTTTTACCTTTGAATTCCTGAGAACACCCTGAATAAAATACGTTTCAAGAATTTTTTGTTTAAAATTGTCTTTTATATTTCTTAATGTCTAGTTTCCACTATATTTGCCCGTGGCTGTCGTGAACAAGCCTTGACCAATGGCGCTGAAATACTCTGCAATTAATCTTGGGTTTTGTGTGCTGTGTGTTAACCAAGCTGCCCAGCTACTCAACCTATCCGGCGATGTTCGGGTTAGTCCACATTAATTAATAGAAAACTGTAGAAACTATATTTTTATTATATATATGCACAAGTCTTCAACTGGTAAACAGTTCTTACCTGAGAAAACAAAAGTTGAAATTATAAAAACTGCAAAAAGAAATTTCATCTTCAATATAGACTGATCTGTACGAAAAAGCGAAAATAAATAGTTAGAGCCGTCAGGAACCTGGAAATTTATACTAAACGAGTAAATGAGAGAGTCTATAGCTCAGTTGGTTAAAGCATTGCACCGGAATCGCGAAGCTGCAGGGAAGGAAAGAAAAAAATTGCTCGAGTTAGCGGGGTTGAGTTAACGGGCTCGGTGTTGGATTTAGTTCATTATGTAATATTGGATTTCGTATAAGGTATAGTCGTTTTATCATTCGTCACAATTGTGAGCACTGTGCACTATAAAGAACTTACAAAGTTTGTACTATTGTTATACCTAAGAAATAAACAGTCTCCATCATGGTGTTTAACAGTACACGACCTATAAAAATTGTGTCAAATCAAGGGGAAATTGGATTTAGTTCGAGTAAGCGGTTCTACTTTACTACAGTTTCTACAGATTAATCAACACTCTATCACAACGGCTATCTTTATATACCTTGGTCACTGTTGCAACAAAATGGAAAACCAGACTTTAGTACAAGTCATAATTGTTGCATGAATTTGTCTAGCCTGATATTACAGCGGAAAATTATATCTATGAAAGCTCACATTCATAATTATTACCTGGAAAGTGTCACTTGAAAAAATGTTGTACTTTTACCTCCAACGACTTCAACAGCTTCTGATCAATTCCAACAGACTGAACAGAGGCACTCGCTTTTATAATCCTGTACCGCACAGTAAATCTGGAGGCTCTGGGAACGAAGATGACGTAATACATATCAAACGCAGGAAGTCGTTCAGTACACGTGCAGACTTGTTTTTCCAGGAAATACGCAGCGGTGTTTCAGCTCGGTTCGGAAGGTTTTGTTGTGCATATTAGGGCCTGTTCATATGATCCCGCTTACCGGGACGTCTCGCTTACCGATGATCTCGCCGCCTATCTATTTTCCTATAAAATTTTGCATTGTGTTCATATGAGAAAGCGAGCTGGCCCGCTTGCCGAGATCTCGTTTGAATTTGCCGAGATCATAGGTAGGCGGGATGAAAATTTTTCCATATGAACACGCCAGCCCGCTTACCGGGATGAAGTCAAACAGTCTTGCCGGTTTAATTTAACACTTTTTACTTGGTTTTATGTTTGTTTTGTAAACAAGTATTAAATATGCACCTGAAGCAATACTTTTTCTTGTAAATAAACGAAGAAAAACACTAAAATCGCTAAGTATTTGTGTTGCTTGACTGAAATGTAGAAGTTTTGCATATGCTAATTATAGAACTACAATGTAATTTCATCTCGGCAAGCGGGACGAAATATTCCATATGAACGCACGGAAATATTCGTCTCGGTAAGCGAGACGTCCCGGTAAGCGGGATCATATGAACAGGCCCTAAGAAAGGAATTAGGAGTACTTAGCTCATTAACATTAGGTTCGGCACATGAAAAGTTCAACGTTTGACCCTTGCCTTAGTTTGATATACAGAAAAAGTCAGATCGAAGAAAGGCTATAGTGCTGCATTATACTGCATGTAAAGCAACTTAAATTTTTCCACAAAATTTTTCATTAGAAACAGGATGTCAATTTTGCTGTCATATTTGCATTTTCAATGTTCCTTCAGCAGTTAATTATAGATAACAAGACGCTCGAAAGAGCGTTGACTCGCTGGGGCTAATGGGTAGACTTGGTTCAAGTCCGTCTCTCAGCGCAAGCGGTCAAAAGCTAATGGGCTGCCTATAGTGATACACTTGTCAGATCCCAGTGATGGTACATTGGTACTACAATCATATGGCCAATTGAAGAGTTAATTGTGATCTGTCCCCTGTTGCAAAATTGCGGTGTCCCACCGATGTGTCAAGTTTGGCACCGCTACCTGACAGCAGACGGTTTGGGGGGAGGAGTTTGTTCCGAAACAAATGCTTCCACTGCCTATCTGAAAATTCCTTGCCCGTCTAAATCGCTGACTGAGACCGACTATCTCTGGTTTATTATGCATCCAAGTGACCCAACCGGGAAAAAAATACCATCGTTCGAATCAGCGTACGAAATTGTACTTAGGATACCAAATTCATTACTGAACAGCAGTATTTTGGCGATATATGACCTTTGAAAGTCAAGCGAAATTGTATTGTTGACAAATGTCACAAATCGCTCTCAAAATTTATATTATTCAGCTATTTAAATATGCAGTACGTTTGCTCCTTGATAACTTTCGTATCGTTGGTTTTCTCCTTTTCGGCCGTATACGAATGGATGCGTCTCACTTTTATCTTCATTTTGATAGTATTTTGATCCGACAATTGTTTATTTTGAAGGTTTTAAAGCGAAGTATTAACCATGCGTGTGGAACAACTGTCCGCCGACAGGAATGTAGCGAATACGATAAAATATAACCTTTACATATAGCACAGCTTGTATGCGGAATCGCATGAAAGTTTTATTTGTAAAGCACCGCATTTAGTTAGTACTGTGTCTGGTCTACTCTGTTCTTACAAAAGCATAGTTAGCACTTAATTAGCAGTCTTATATTGAGTTTATATTTCATACAATAGTTCCTGTGCATCGCCATCGGCGATAGCTGTGTCTTACTTTGTATTTCTATTTTTGTCGGGCTAGAAGAT